AAAGAAGTGAGGAGAAGAGTGGACCAGGCCATGGTGGTCGTCTTCAAGTCCTTTAGTGCTCCAGAGTTGAACACACCTCCCTCAAGGACTCATCATACTATGCTTTAATGAGTAGTGACAGATGCAACAGGAAGGAAGCTGAAGAGAGTCCAAGGTGGTAGACAGAGGTGAATCTCTTCAGGGCTCACAACGGCTGAACTCATGTCCTGAGTCACAACTGATTGAAGGTCAAGCTCACTATGATTCTCCTCCCAGTATAGATTAGACACTTAGACAGGATGGATTAAAGCACCACTTTGACCAGAACCCATGAGGTAGAGAATCATAGCAGTGACCAGGTGGTGAACTGGGGAGCAGCTTGGTGTGGTAGCAAAAGAAAGAGGATCTGCATGGGGTGTCTGTCCAGATCAAATGATCTTTTGTAAAGTTCCAACTTTTGAGGAAAATGATGGAGAAATGGCAACCAGGAAATGGTGGAAAGTTGAAAATCTGTTTGATTTCTTGATATCCCTTTCTTTTCTACTTCTGGGAAAAGAAGGCACTAATAAGCTGTTTATTTCCGTTTTTGTTCTCTCCTAAGGATATTGAATTTTATATTGAAATGCTTCCTACATAATAGGTGGTGAGGATTGTTCTGGTGGTGATACTGGGATCTAATTTCTTGAATAAAATGCACATCAAATAAAACCAAGAAGGCGATACCTCACTTCCATTGAAGAAGAAAAACATTCATGACTTTGTTATGCACAGTTTGACACTGTTGTCAACCTTTTCATCAAAGTGACTATGTTTACATATAGGAATTCAGACATTGCAGATGTGTAAGTCAGCAGAGTCTCAACCAACCCTCCCCTCTATGAACACATAAGGGAGCCTTAAACTCTCTTTTAGTCATTCTTCAGTTCCCCCTTCCACCAAAAACATGTTGAATCTTAAATTTTACAGTAACCAAAATCCCTACTATTTATCCATTTCTTTGGTCATCTACTCTGTAGAATCTAGACTTTTCTTCAGAAATTTCAATCAGAACACTATTTCTTGTGAACCCTTAGCACAATCCTCTAATCATACAACTACAATCTCTTCCCTTTTCCCTGTAATAACATGTTTTGCTATTGGTATATTAACCTGATTTATTTCCTTCTTCCAATAAACAAGTCATATTCATGAATTTCAGATCAATATAAGAAAACAAAAATGTTTCTGCTAATGATTAAATTTGGGTACAGATTTAGAGAGAAGTCCTTACTCTCTAAAACATATTCACTGGAATGGGGATGAAACCCAAATTCTGGGCAAAACAAACAAGGTTAACTGCCTCATTTGGCCACAGTTTGGGTGCTGCACAGGAAAGTCACATCAACGGGCTGATGGCTGCTTTTCTCTCACTTCCCCTTTGGCCTGGGCATCGTGTCAGCATTGTCATTAGACATTAAAAATCGTTCTCAGTCACTACCTAGAGCCCTGAGGTGCTCTGGGCAGTCATGTTCACTAAATAAGACTTTGAGAAAAGCAACAGCTTTCCAAGACATTGTAAGTCCTACTGTCTTTAATGATCACTTTATTTTCTCTGAAGCAGTGTAACTGGGATAATCCCACACACAATGCCCTTAATCTCATGTTACCCAACAACCACTGTACAATATGGACTTCAGTTTCTGTCTTACAGTGTGATTTAAAGGTCAATCCTGGGAATCCAGTCTCCCTGATTAACATTCCTTTGGAATAAGCAGTGATGGATATTCAGAGGGGAGACAGAACAATAACCTCCATCTAGAACAATAAGAATTGTGCATTTTCCTTCTCTCTCTGACAAGAAAATCTCCTCTCATCACTGTGATTTTAGTATTTGGTAAAGGAAGTCTTACAGGTCTGAGTTAATCCTTATTTCTATATAGCATGATAATGACAGACACCACTGCTAGGAACTAAAATGGAAAACCCAAGGTGATGAGTGCAACTAAGACATTAAGAGCTCTAAATACCTGGACTTCAGCCTGATAGAGCTGAGTCTCAGCTGACTAAGTAAGGTTTTCAGCAATCCCACCTATCAGCACAATGAGGAGGTAACTGAGATGTACTTCTGTGAATAATACTCATGTGGTAAAGAATCTGATCTATAAGCAACACAGAGGTGACCAAGGGATTTGATTGGCTTTAATTGGATCAAAAGGAATCCACATGTGGAGGGTGTGGCCAGAGAAGTGCTGTATGTGCTGAGCCCTTGGTCCTCAATCAGAGACAAAGAGGAACAGGATGTTTTGAAAACTGAGCAATTAAAGCTTCTCATCCAGGAAATTTGATTGCTGTTAGAAAACAGAACCATGCATTCTTGCCAAGACATAAATGTGAGTGAAAAATTTGAGAAGATAAAACTATCTCTATTGAACATTGTCCCTGGAGTTGTCCTGAAATTCTGGCTTTTTTCAAAATAATTAGTATTAATGAGTTGATTTAATCAAGTCCTGCCAGAGAAACAAAATCACTGAGCAGACAATAGGTTCTGTATGAGTTCATCTGCCTGGAGAACTAGTTGAGAAAGTATGTTGGTTCCCAAATATATCATCACAACCAGTCTGTATCCCACAGATACAGAGAGATGCTGTTTTTTCTGATCTGGAATGTGACCTGCCCAGTAATTCTATCATAATTCAGGAGTGTGGGGTACCACCTGAAATCTGATTCTACAAGGACACACACCTTTTCCCACCATTGCTCCTTCTCATAGTGTGGATGATTTTTGATTCTCTACACCCAGATCAAGACATTGAAGAATGCTGAGCTAGCATAGATTGGGCCTAGGTACATGAACATCAAAGGAAAAACAGTAAAAGAGGAGAGTCAGTGGACAGCAGGACACCCATTGTGAGGTATCCTTTCACTTTCAAAACCATAATTCATTTTCTATCCATCTTTGCAGAATATAAGAAGGGTGTCATAGACAAAGAGGGAAGTCCAGCTCATTGTGGAAGACCCTCAGTTCTTTCAGGTTCCCAAGTTTATCTTATTTCCAACAGTATCAGAATTCGAGGGTAGAGCAATTCATACAAACGTGTGACTTCCCTGAAAGTTTAAGCTCCATTGTGGGGTCTGATAATAAGCTCTACTTGGAAAGTCATTCTGGGAGAGGAGAGACCTGGGTAGAGGCCTACTTGCGGTTCTCAAGAATTTGTGAGTACAAACCAGCTTGGCCTTTGAGTAAGCTATCAACCATTCTGATCAGTGACATGACATGGTTCCCTGCTAGGATTCCCATCATAGATTGCTCAGTGCCAGCAATCAGTATCCCTGCCACTGAAGTCACATGCATTGTTTTCTTCTCTGTCCAGTTTATCTTCACCATGTCCTTCCATGATGAACCTAAATCTCTTGTCTCCTCACAGCCCTGTGAATTTTGGTTTACCTGTTCACATAACAGGACTGTGCCAGCTCTGTGTGAGCACAGAATGAGAACCTGACCTGATATTTGTGGTGGGAAAGACACTGGGGGAATGGTGTGAACCAGACATTCCCAGAATCTCCAAGATGCATAGGCTAGAGAAGGAAGTACATTACAGAAGACAATGAACCTATTAGTCATGTGATTTCTCCAGAAAACTAAGGGACAACTCCAGGCCCATTTGTGGCACAAAGCCCCATTCCTACCATGGCATGCCTTTTTGCACTCTTAAGATTCTGTGAGTCCTCCCCAAGGGGTCACAGACAGTTTCCAGTTATGCTTTGCTCCAATTTGACACCTGGCTCTCCTGTTCTCTGACCCCCTTCCCCTGAAGATAGGTTGTGCCATTGAATTTTCTTTTTGTTTAATCCTGGGATATCAGAGGTCATAAAGATATCCTTGCAGAGATCCCACAATGCATAAAGCTGAGTCAATTGAATGGACTGACCTGCTAGAACAATCAAAGTTGAACTTTCTTATCATGGCAGCCCTTGGTCATGTTTGAAGAATCCCTTTTATGGTACTAATCCTTAATATCTGTAAATATCAAATTTTATTGTCACGATTCATCTTGGACAGATTCTGAAATGATTTCCACAAAATTGTGATGGATGTTCTTTTCATAATCTTGAAAATGACCTGTGCATGTATGAGGTAATCTCCTCTTAGATCCCATCCCAAAACACTTTAACAAGTGTTGTCTTGAAGGATTAGTGAATTACACATGGTAGAACTCAGGGCTTCACAAGCACAGCACCATGCAGGAAAGCATGAGATGACATCTGTCCTGGAGGCTCTTGGGAGATGCTATGAATTAGGTAAAGATATTGATTTAGACTACACTACACTTTTGTGTATTCTTTTCCCTATAAACTGCAGTGTATTTCAGTATCATCACAATCAAACAATTGGCATGGGTGAGGAGATGAGTCTTAGGAATTTGTGAAATTCAGCAGGTTGTGCATCCAAAATCAACTTCATAAGTCTACCTTATAAAGTGTTTTAAAGATTCAATATTGGGGTGGTAAAGTGTATCAAATGGCCAAAATGCCTGCCTAGCAAGCATGAGTCTGGGAGTTCAAAGTTCAAAGCCAACAATAACAACAACTCAATATTTTCAGAGGCCCAATAAAATATGCAGATTTCCTTCAGAATCAGAATTAAGATATATGTAATTCAGTTGGATTTTATTTATCTGAACTGATCAAATGAGAAAATCGTTTTAGTATTCATCCATTACAGAATAAGTGCATCCAAAGTCATGTGTGCTCAGATTCATGAAGACTTGATGTATCTTCTGGAGTACTAAGGACAATTCATCACATCATGGAACAGTGCCAAAAAGAGTATGTATACTGAAATAAAGCAGAATTTTAAAAGGGTATACAGTATGATCCCATTTGTAAATCTTAGGCAATGAAAACCAATCAAATGAGAATGAGCAGCATCTGCTGGTGTTCACCCTCCTGGCAGAAGAGGAAGGTTTCTTGTCTCACTTCCTTTAGAACTGAAGCACTGTATGAGCACTGTCATAAGTGTGACAGTAATAATCAGTCTCATCTTAAGGCTGGAGCCCAGTGATGGTCAGTGTAGCTGAGTTGCCAGACTTGGAGCCAGAGAAGCGATCAAGGATCCCTGATGGTCGATTGCTATTACCATAGATGAGGAGCTTAGGGGAGGTTCCTTGCAGCTGTTGATACCAGTACACAGCATAGATGCCAATGTTACTGCTGCTTCCAGCACAGGAGATGGTGACTTTCTGTCCATGGTTCCCAGACACTGAGGATGGCTGAGTCAATACAGATTGTGCCCAGGATCCTGACAGTGGGAAGAACAGACAGTAATTTGAAGTCAATACTGGAGGAGATAACAGTGACCCACGCTTTTTTCAGGCTCTACCCATACCCCATGTCCCATCACGTGTGCAGAAGGTGAGGAGGATGATTAATGAGGACAAGGTCATGATGGAGTTCTTCTAGGAGTCCTTCTGTGCCTCAGAGTTGGTTAGAGCTCCCTCAAATCTTCTCTTGTCTTTCTTCATTCTGACAATGTGGCATACCCACTTATGCAAATGTGGATTCTCTATGATTTTGCTCACACTCTGAGGCCCTGATCTGAAGATATCACTGAGCTATGTAGGGGTGTGGTTGGGTGGGCTTTGTTGTTGAGGCAGTCACTGTGTGAGCCCTGATAGAATGACATAAGGCAGGGACACTTAGCTCATTCCAGATATCATCACCCCAGCAAATTCAGTAACAGTCTTCATGTGCTCTTTTACATCTGGGTCCTGCACTCTGCATTTCACAATGGTGATAAAGACCCTCAGAGGCAGTCCTCTCTTCTCAATGTTCTCTTTATGCATACTAACTCAAACTTGCCTATGGTGTCCCTCTGTAGACTCACTCTAACCTCAAACATGTTCAATTTTTGCTATACACAGACTGCTCAGGGGAAAAATCTTTTCACAGCCAACTTAAATTCTCATTGGTCCTCACTGACATGATGTGTCCTGGGATAATTCCTTTCAGATGAGGATGGAGGAGACACACATGGAGGTTTTGGTGTAATAATAGGAAACATGGTATTTGCCAGTCTTTCTGAAACACTGAAAGTTTGATTCAAATGTCTTCCACATTTACCATAAATACTGTATTTTGAAATGATTTTGAACAAGATTTACTGTTATGTTGTTTTCCTCATAATATATCAGAAGGAAAATATAATATTTGATACTGGTATGTTTATATTACATAGTACTTTTATTTTTTTATAATCTCTTATTTATCTACTGAGGTGAACCAAAGATGAACGTTCCTTATCTCCTGGGTCTGAAGAGTGGACTACCTTTAAATTCACACATTTATTTTTTTGGATCCTGGATATTTTTCCAAGACATAGTGCTTATTTTCTTTTTTTTTCTTAGATATTTTAGATCCCTGATCTTTATTCATAATACACTATAGAAGAGTGTTGGTGTTTTTAAATTACATGAACTTGAGGGTGATGTGTTAGTTTTAAGTGTAAGGACTGTAGGATTGAGTGTTTAACACATTACTCAATAATGACAGAAGAACTGAGGGGAAATCTGTGGAAAACCCAATCCAGTGGACCCAGGCAAGTCTGTTCAGGATTCATAACAGTTGGACTTATGCCCTGAGGGGCTGAGTCACAGCTGACTGAGAGCCAGGCATTGGGAAATCAGGAAATGATAGTGACAACAATCTCTGACCAAGACCCATGAGGTGGAGAATCTCAGCAGTGACCAGGTGTTGTCCTGAGCTGTAGCTTCATGTAATTGAGAAAAAAACATATCCACATGAAGTGTGTAGCAAAATTAGAGGTTCCTGTGCTTCGTCCCTGTGTTTGGTCCTCACCTAAGGATAAAGGTAGAGAAGAGGAAGCAAGAAATGTTGGGAAGCTGAGCCACTGTCTTAGTTTCTTGAGACATCTATTTCCTCTATTCTTCTGGGAAGACAAGGCTTTCATAGCATTATTTTCTGTTTATTCATCTTCTGAGGATATTGAATTTCAGATTAATGTGTTTCAAATGAGAGGGGGTGTGACTTGTTTTCAGAGTGATGTTGGTGTTGATATCTCTTAGACAATGGACATGACAAGTTATTACACTGAAGGGTTGACTTTGAGCTTGATTTCTCACTCCTGTAATCTGAGCTCCTCAGGAGGTGGAGGCAGAAGGATGGCAAGTTTGGGGCTATCTCATGAAAAGATCCTCTCTCAAAACAAAATTCAAAGAAAGCCTGTCGTGAATTTCAAGTGGTAGAGTACTTACATAGCTTGTACAGTGTCCTGAGTTCAATCCCAAACACATCAAAGAGAGAAAACAAAACGATTCCCATTAAAACTGGCAGCCATTTCCTTCTCAGCACACAATATCAACAAAAATGACCAGAAGTGATTTATTAATAAGTTGATCATCCCATATTCATGTCCTGATGCCAGAGAAAAATTGAATCATTTAAAGTCTATAAATTTGCAATAATACCAATAATTTTAAAAATTTAAAGTGAGTAATAAAATATTTAGGTAAGATCAGAGCAATTTCTTTTTTGATCTTTTAATCTGTAAAGGTTAGAAATACTAGCCTAATGTGATCCCACTTGTGGATAAGATGTTGTTAGAAATTTATACAAGTGCAGTGGTAGAGTTATAATGACTGATCTATTAGTTTCCTTGTATGATTATAACCATGTATCACAAACTTAATGCTTATTAACAGCAGAATTTGTCTTGTCATAATTTTGGAGGCCAATTGTTCCAAATCCACAGGCAGGATCATATTTGCCATGTCACCTCTAGGCAAATCCTTCATTCTTACTCCCATGTTCCCAGTTTTTGAGAGAAATCTCTGGTGCTCCTTCCTGCACATGCATAAATCCATTCTGTGTGTCCGTCTTCATAGGAATTTCTTTCCCTGTTTGTTGTCTTCTCAGAATTTCTTCCTTATAAGCATTTCAGCAGGATGACTCTGGAGGTCACCTTATTCTACTGCACTCTCATCTTAACTCATGATGTTGGATTACACTGTTTAAATGGAGACTTATCCTGTGTAATGGGGGCTATAGTTTTAATATACCTTCCTAGTGAGAAATTTTCTACACACATCATGATAGAAGAAATTCATTTCTAAAATTTGGGAATTTTTAATATTTTGAAGTGGTATGCTGGATATTTGCATGTAAATGTCTGAAACTAGAGCACTAGCTCCTACTCTGTGCAAAAACAAAATCAAAATTGATCAAGGACCTAAATGTCAAACTACAAACCTTGAAACTAACTATTACAGGAATGTATAGGGAAAGCCTTCCAAAATATAATCATAGGAAAGAATTCCTGTATTTACTACCAAAAGCCCAGAAAATAGAGCAGGAATTGACATGTGTGCTTATATCAGCTTAGAGGAATCTGCACAGCAAATAAACAATAAACAAGAAGGTTAATCCTGCAGAATGGGAGAATTTTTCAGCCAGATATTCAGTGTCAGATTATCAATATCTAGAATATATGAGGAACTCAAAAATAAAAGTAATGCAATCAAAAAATGGGCATGTGAACTGAACAGACAATTCAGAAATGAAGATTGCAAATGAACAAGAAAGACATGAAAAAACTATTCAACATACTCAGCCATAAGAGAAATTTAATCCAAGCAACAATGATATTACACCTCATGCCAATCAGCATGGAAATCATCAAGAAATCAATCATCAAGAAAACAAATGTCAAAACAAGCCAGTGAGGAAGTGAAGGGGAGAATTCTCATTTACTACTTGTGAGAACTTGAATGAGGGAGGACACAATGAAATTCACCAGAGTGATTCTCCAAAAATTCAAAACAGAACTCCCGTATGACCCAGACATACGTCCTCTGGGTACATACAAAAAGTCAGTTTATGACAGCACCCCTCATAATAGCCAAATTATGAGTTCAGCCTTGATGCCCATTGGTGGATAAATGGATAAAAAAATGTGGTCTGTGTATACAGTTGGCTTTTACTCAGCCAGTATAATGAAAGAAATAATATCATTTGTTCAGAAATAGATGAAATTGGTGATCATCCTGTTAGGTGAAATAAGCCAGTTGCACAAGGACAAATAACACGTTTCTTCCATTTGTAAATGTTAGGAGATACCAAAAGCAGAAAGTGAATAAGGTGTTAAAAATAAAGCACGGACTAGGATAAAGATAAAAGGGAAAAGGAGAATAGAGAACAGGTAGGGGAATTAGATCAATGGAGGGGTAAAATATATATTTTTTATATGAAAAAGTCACAATTGAAGCCTCTGATATATAGAATTAATACATACCAATAAAAAAATAACAAAATTGGAAAGCAACTTTTAATATTTTATTATATTATATTTTTATTATATCAAAATTATTTTATTAAATTTTATTTACCTTTTATTTTATTAAAATTCACCTAAAAATCAGTTTTAGTGACATACAAAGGGAGATCCCTGCACTTTGCTGTTAGGTGGACGAAAGAACATTGCTACATTTGTTCTCTGGACAATGTGTGCTGACTTCAGTACTCAATCTCTTCCAGCTATTAATGTTGGGTGGGAAAATAAATAATCCATTTTATTGGTTATGGGACACCTTCACTTAAGGACTCAAATGGACTAGATTTCAAGTCAGGAGTGTGCTTTTACCTTTATGTGTATGGATAATCGATATTCAGATTCCTGAGAGCACAGTGTCTGGTCTGTTTATACTCAGGTTCAACCACACACATGTTAGGTCTTGACCCTGAAACTACATAAAACACTGTGCTGAACTGCTGCAAAGAAGCAAACAGTAGCAATCATTCTTGTGCTCAGGTTTGGCCACTAAGAAGGTCATTGTAGATTTGTCCCCATGAAGGTAGCAGAGAAACCAGGGGCCATCCACAAGTGTATAAGGCTTGTGTTATAAAATGGTGTTCTGGGCACATGCCATTGATTTTTCTGAAATAAAACTGGGTAGTGAACTTTGCTGAGTACTCTGGTTCTGGAGCCGAGTGAGAGTGACTGTTTCTAGGGAATACTCAGTGAGTGCTCATATGTCACCATGGTATGAGAACTGGATTTTGATATGAAACTCAAACATACTACGAATGAAGAAGGAAGACAGAGGGTAAATCTAAATTCTCTATTACTCTGTATTGTAAGTAAGGAGAAATGGAAGAATACGTGAGAGGTCATGATGAGAACATTGGAAGATTTCCTTGTATTTTGTGTGAGATGGATATTTTAATGGGTCTTTGTTTCCTACTGAGTTCAAAGCATGGAGTTGGGTGTTTGTGTGGAATATTATGCCAATATGAGTACTTCACAATTCCCTTCCACCATATGATCCGAGCTCTGGGAGCTGTTTCATCATCAGAGGGAGAACTGCCAGAGGGAGTTTGATGAGGATTTGCCTGTGAGAGGAAGCACCTGCTCTTCCATTGTTCGTAGATA